TTCTCATTATAAGTCTTCCTTCTGAAGTGGATATTGCATGGCTTTTCCACATTTGCGCAACTCATCCCATTGATCATCCAATCATATGTTGAGGTCAGTGTTTGCCTTAAATCTTAAACAGAATTCCAATACACCATTCACAGTGACTTTTATTACCACGGGACCATCGTTGCGGTGATCCACCAAAGATTGTCTCACAATAGCGACCCTACCGATGATTGGCGCTTCGCCATTAGAAATGCCTTTTCAGTGTCGGCAGTAGCTTCCATTCATTGTCACCTCAATGCAGGTCACAATGACTGAAAGCTGAATAAAAATTTGGCCTCTTGTACCTCTAATTCATAGTGAATATGCTAATGAAGGGAATTAACTGAGCTGAGTTCTTTGCCTGTTCTGCTGCACTTGAGATTATAATACGAACATTTTGCTCTTCTCTCGCACAACCCTTTCCACATCTCTCTCCCACTTCAGCAAGTACTGTGTTATTCCATGAAGCCTCAATCGATTCGATGGATCAGTCTATAAAATGCGAACTAGAGGTACACGAACGCGAAATTTAAACCAAGCGAAACTAACCGTGAGCCAATGTAACTCACTTTCCTACGGTGATCGTGCACATTACTGGCCTTGAATAGGCCAATCAGAGTAAAGATATTCGTATATGAAGATGCCATTGGTCATTGCCTCAATGACATCAATTTGGTAGACTAATCCCACTACTCCACCAGTAGCACGTTTGCGTGAGATGAATGATTTGCCAAACATATAATTGCATCACAAGATGACCAGTAGCCGAACTTTGCACAATTTGAGTTCCGTGTTGTCGGTGGATAGGTCCCTTTGATTTGCTTAGTGTGCTTCTCTTTTAAATCAGTTAAGCCATGCCATTCTGCTTACATACAGTAAAAACATGTGAAGTAGCATTTGAAATGTATTTCACCACAAGCATAGTTGTAATTTCTTGCCTGCTTTCAGCTTTTAAACACGACACAGTGATTGGGAATGGGAAAATCTATATATGTTGCACCAAAGGTTGAGCACCACTGGTTGGTGGGTAAGCGCTCTGTAGTAGATGCTCTCGTACTAGGCCAATTATGTGTACAGACAGAATGCAGTCACATAGATGTTTGTCATTTCGTTAACAAAGACGCCGATGAAGTAGCTGCTGGCCAAATCTTTTTCAAACCATCCCGCATAAGACTATTGGGCTGATGAGTGAAATTAGTGATTGACTGATCTACTTTCCGTTGAATTAACCATCAATCTACCCATTCACCCACTAATCAATTTCTCGTTTGTACACTGGTGTCTATCTATCCACATGGAGTTAAATCGAGTCGAGCATATCAAGCTCAGGAATAGAGTACCCCATTGGAAAGCATTTTAATCCACTTGTCCGTATTTGCGGATGAGTATGGATAAGCAAGCAGGTGCTTCGTCCTCAAGCGTTCCAGCTGTCAGTTAGTAGTTGACTAACCTTGAACCTATTCGCTCACACAAAGTGCACCCAAAAGTGGTAGTTGACAAGTAGGAAGAAGTGAACAAGAGCAGGGTGTCGCAAACAATGTGAAAGAATTCTTGAGAGTGGAAGCTTTTTGAAAGTGGAACCAGCAACAATTTCTGGGCATGCACCCATGCTTGGCTCCTTCCCTCGCCAAAGAATAGCTGTTGACCACGATTTCTGGGGCCAACGCGAAGTCGGTGTGCACTGTGCCTCCGGCTATAGGAATGCTGTTAGTGTACACAAGACGGCACATAGTGGAATTTCTTCCATGTCATTCTGTGAAGCAGATGCTGCATTTGGGAATGCCATCCCGAAATATTTTAATAGTATGCTCACTGGTCAAGTGACACGATGGGCTGCTGATTCAGAGGGGCGTGGCAGATGCAAATGTTTATGGTGCCTCTCCAGCGTGTCCTTTCCAATCGTGATGAATAACGGCTTTTCCACGTAAGCACAAACCTCTCCACCGAACAACCGATTGTGTGTCAATCAATGGACGCGGAAGCAGACGTCAGCGTCTCTCTGGAATCTTAACCGGAGTTTCGTTACACCTACAGAGACGCGATAAGTCATGGGACCATGGCTGTGGTGAACAGTCTAGGTTGGTTTGGTATTAACAATGTGGCTTCTCTTCATTTCCGCCTGTTTAAGTGCATTGATGAGCCTCTTTGCTTGATTTGTCGATTGAAGCTGAGCAGACAGCAGACGAATGTGTGTAATGGTATGTTGACAATAGTAGTCATGGAGATGACACTGAGGGAAGCGGCCCCTTCTCTCTGTAAAATAAATGAAAAATATAATTAAGGTTTCTAGAAACCATGTCAAAGTACGATACCTCCCAGCAGTTGTAGATTCTTGTTAGTCGTGCAAAAGATCACAGCATTCCTCTATGATCATGGAGGGAAAACCTTTATTTTTAATGCTGGGTTAGCAAAATATTATCATTTGGAATATATAGCTAAATGACTCATCATGACCACTGACAATGGCCAGTGATGCCTCAAATCGATTTAGAATGAAGTAGACGAGAGGGATCACTGCTATTGCAAACGGTGAATTCAAATGTTGACTTCGAAATCGATTTATGTGGCATCTGCATTGGCTTCGAAGGATGGACAAGCTTTTGTATAGACTGCCACCACTGATAATTGGATAGTTGAGATTTATCCTCGGGGTGGGTACCCTTCCAGCTGGTTAATTTCACGGACATGTTTGTATTATTCTGCTGCGTTTAGTCAAAGTCATAAACCTTTCAAGAGTTAACAACCTTCCCTTGGACGTTGCTTTCCTCTCAGAGTAAGAATTGTGCATTTGGTTAAAAGGCTTTGATGAAAAATACCAACTTGATTAGGAGAATAAAAGTAAAGGGATCTCCTTTTCAAATCAAAAGTGACCAAATCGTGTAGCTGAAAATAATGGTCTCATGGCGTAGGCAGAGGAACGCAAAGAGGGAACAAATGTGGAGATGAATAATAGGTGAGCATATGGAAGAATAGAGGTATGGGTGTACAGATGACAGGGAGAGGGACGGATGAATAGACAGGTGGATGGATGTATGGATATGGGATGCAGTAGGAATCCTGGAAGGATAAATGAGTAGGAGAGTGGATAAAAGGGTGGGTGGACAAGGGATTGATGGGTAGATTAATACGAGCTCTGTGCGGGTTAAACGGGTGATGCCGACGATGCCTTGTGACTTGCCCTGTCACTTCACATGACTCGAAGTGCCCACAACTGGATTCTATTTGAGACAATATTTGTTATGTAGCTAAATGCGCTACAATGGAATTCCTCTCCCTTTGCCTGCCTCCTTCGTGGCTAACTCAGCTAGCCATCACATACGCACACGCTGTCCAACCCCGCCATCTCATACACAGCAGCCAAGAAAGGCATGTGCATTGACGACATACCTACTGAGTCTGATGTGATCCCATATCGGGAACGAAATCAGCAGTCTATGCACTGGGTAATGTGGTATTCTGATGGTGCATGCGTCATACCTTGAAGCACCATTTCACCATCCATTTGCCCAACCATATATTTGTCTCACAGCTCAGGATGATGCAGATGTTAACCCACGCAACGCGTTATAACTCTTGCCCGTGAGCCAACCAAATTTGCCTAACCTCTAATAGATGGCATTACTCATGAGATAGCGGTGTTCCACCATGATTTGAGAGAAATACAGCACGTTGGATTCATGGTTTATACAATATGATAACCCACACGACAGCAATCATAAACAAAGTGTTTTCAGAAGGAAGTGCCTAATGGCACTGCTATCTTCAGTGTGCAGAGGATTTTAGAAAGCCTTTTCGAGCATGATAAACTCCAACAAATAAGGCTGTGAAAAAGATTGCAAGGCTCATTTTGTCTTTTTAACGTTGTAAACGTCCATCCTGTTACTTTATATTTCTGACAATTAGATAGAAAATTCGCATCGAAATCCAATACACAGAATGCAC